GGGAGGTAAATCCCACCAACAGATTGCCACACTGTTTAAAATTTCTACCCTGCGCCATTATGGAGTGATTGGGACTACATACTGAGTATTCCCTCGTATATATCATAGAGATAAATTATAAAATTATGTTTTGTTCTGTATTTCAATTAGATTTATATTGTTCTCAGAGGCACCAGAGCTTTACTTAGAACTCATTTTTAATATAGAGTAGTATTTAGAAAATAACTACTTGACCATGAATGCTCACAATGCCAATGATTTATCGAACAGATCTTTAAGCTCAAATGCAATATAAGGCATTGTGCAATGATCTGTTCTTTCTATTAGATTTTCATACCCTCCATTATTTGCTTGTCTGTCTGGTATCTGGATTTTCTCATTCTTGCTTGGCGGTTGATTTTGCTGTTCATCTTTGCATTATCTGGTCATAAACATCTCAGTGGATGGGAAGAGAGCTGTCCCTGTTGCAGAAGCGCATTGACCAGGCAAATGAAAAAGGATGGAGGAGAGAATATCCTTTTACTAATGCTATCAACATAGTAAAGATTTTGGAATAATAACATCTCTTGTACACATGTATAATTGTGGCAACCCGTAGATTTAGGGAGAAGTTCAAATTGTGAAGCAGCCAGTTGACCGCCAAATTCTGGACAGTTCTGATAACTTCCTTGGGTTTGTTGCATTTATGCAATTTAATATTTCGTTTGGTACTTTGTGTCAGTTATTAAGTTTCTTATGTGACCCTTTGACCGGAGATATTTAGGTCTTTGTACTTTCTTTCAGTCGGTAAGTTTCTTATGTGACCTTCTGAATGCATGTCCTTCAAATGGGAAGTAGTAAGTATGCTTCTTGTTATTAGGTATTATATTAAGTCGAGATGGAGCTAAATGGAACTTAGTCATGGGTTTTTGTCAATCATATTATTTTCAGAAATATGTTCTTATACTGCTTAAAGGGTATCAGTTCCACCCTTTGGGTAGTCCTACTGCAGTTTCTAGCACATTTCCAGGTTGGGTCTTCATCAGATTGTCTACATTACTAAACCTATTTGGATTGTTTGCAAGATGAAACTTAAATTTGGCATTCCCCTTATGCCTAGGTAGTAGGTACTATTTTATGTAGATGAGAAATCTGTGACCCTTGACCTACATACGCTTGCTCAGTACATGGATAAGAAGCTGCTTCTTGAAATGCCATCAGAACAATCACGGTTGTTAAATGAGGTTCCGGAAGTAATTGCAGATATAGAAAATTTTGAACCTACTCTTGAGAATTCTCCGAGCCATGATAAACGAGAACATGATGTTTTGCCTGAAGCACTCAGAGGATCTTCTCAAACTCCCAGCTCTGATAAACGAGAAAATTTTGAACCTACTCCTGAGAATTCTCCGAGCCATGATAAACGAGAACATGATGGCTTGCCTGAAGCACTCATTGGGTCTTCTCAAACTCTCAGCTCTGGTTTAGCCAATGGAACATTGTACTATCCAAAGGGCGGAATAGATCCAGCAGGTTTGCTAAGCTTCTAATTCTAATTTATTGATTCAGCATTGTTAAGAAGCTGCTGCTTGAAACACCATAAGAACAATTGCGGTAATTAAATGAGGTTCCGAAACTAATTGCAGATATATCAAAATTTGGATCTGCTCTTGAGAACTCTTCTAGCCAGGATAAACAAGAAAATGATGGCTCACCTTTTTCAGCCATCAAAGCGCCCTCTCAAACTCCCAGCACTGATTTAGCCAATGGAACCTTGTGCTATCCAAATGGCAGAACAGATCCAGCAGGTTTGTGACGCTCTCATTCTTGACTATAAATTCAATATTGTTTCCTCAAGTTCTTATTTGGTTCCATTTATCAATGAGAATCTGGGCATGCTTGCATGCTTAATGTTTCTAGATCATGATAAGTTCAATCATTTGACTGTTGAATTCTGAGAGTGACTAGTATTAGATGTACCTCTCACAACATTTTAAGTATCTTGCAATTCTAGACGTTATGAAATTCTACTCTTTCTTTGGAGTGAGGTGGTTGATGAATATGAAATTTATGCCAACACAACTGAATTCATTTTTCCACTGTACTTCCTCCTAAATTCTGTTTTTGTTATGCCAGTCTTTTTTCCCTTCATATAGTGCTTACTCCTTTGATGCTTTCTGGTCACTTCACTTGGTAACATGTCATGTGAACAACTGGCTCTTTGTGGGGGCAGTATTTTTCTTTTTCTTTTTTTCCTAAAACAGAAGAACTATCATCAACAAAGATACTCATGGATATAAGTTTTATAAAAAAACTAATGTTCTCTCAAGTACTGTCATCAACAAAGATACTCATGGATATACGATACTCAGTGAATCTTTCAGGTTTTCACTAAAATTAAAAGCCATGATAAGTCCTGATGCTTTGATAAACCTATTAAAGAAGGCCTCACCTCAGTACATACTAATATTAAAACATAATGTTCTCTCAAAACAAAACATAATGTAGAAAGCGAAGCACTTATATCCTATGGTTTCCTCTATGCGAAATCAATATAAATATAAATTGAAATTGCAAAATGAAAAGACGGTTCAACTGCGATTATAAACCTGATAGGAAGGTATTTTATATAAATTGGAAGCCTGATACACTCATAGAAGTAAAGAGTAGCAATCTTAGGATCTTTTCCCAAAATCTAGTGTAATAAAGAGAGTCTAGATCGAACAACAATACTCTAAAAGGAGTGTCTGACTGCCGTGACTTTGACAGAAGCCTCACCCCTCTCCCTACCATCGAGCAAGTAAACTCCCCTTGGAGCCTCACCTTCAGGAAGGCATCGCAAGGAAGAGTGACAAGAGACTTGCTTGTCTTTTATCTGAAGCTAGGCGCCAGGTGCTTTGCTTGCCCCGCTTGCCAACTCACTAAATGGTTTTTGGTTTAGGACGGGTTGTAGGGATGAATGAAATTGGTTCAAAGGGGTGTGATATCAGTAGCATGTTTAACCTGGGAATCACTCAACCAAGGACAATAGGATCACTCAAATGTTGCTATTCTGGACTCAATCAACGTGACTGAGTCAAATGTTTGATTGAATCAAGGTTACTTGCAAAGAATTTTTTTCTTTTCCTCTAATGAAATTTCACTCGCTTCCCTCCTACATTTAGGACATACATTGAAGTAATAGACTATTTGGTTACCCCAGAAAATATTTATTGTCTAAGAGAGTTTTAGGTAAATCTCTAGATAAGTCTTAAAATGGATGCACTGTATTAGTTAGAGGTGTGAAATGGGCAGTGTCGCGCCAGTCCAACCCATTTTATTTAGGCCCATTCTTGCTCCATGTTGACCCTGTAATAATCGTGTTGTGCTCATGATGTGCCCAGATAACCAAGATTTAGACCAGCACGGCCTGCGGCGCTTACAACTTATTTGTTCTCATGTTCTACTTTTGTCATGTTATAATATTGATTGATATCACACAGAGAAGCCTACGAGGCATGAGCGCAAAAACTTTAGTATATAAAGCATCTTAAACACAATGCTTGGTTCTATGCATCCTTCTAAATGCACTGCCCAACATAGAAGTATTAGGGATACATCAAAGCCGGACTATAAGGCAATTTAACAAAGACTTGGTTATCTTGGTGCATTCACATCCTCTACATGTGCCATTGGGGGACTACATTGATCTGAGTTGTATTCACCGGTGGATCAGAGCTCTTGGCCTATGCAATCTGATGATACAAACCTCGTTTAGAATGCCTTGCCTTTAAGTAAGGTTTTTTTTTTTTTTTCTCTCTTTCGTGCGGTGAATTTATGTACCGTTTTGTGTCGTTGATTTGTTAGTGGTGACGCCCTTTCAATGATTCTACTTTAAAACAGAAGAGAAACAATTCTGCTAGATTTGTTTCTGAAAAGCTGACCAGAGTTTCATATTCTGTCTCCAGAAGTCCAAGGTGGTATTCATCATGGAAGGCACCGCCAATATGTTCATGTGGAAAAAAAGTCTTCTAAAGTGTTGTTTCCTAAAGCACTCGAACAAAAATCTCTTGATTTTGCTTCTAAAGGCCAACCTGATGTCAGCCACCAAAAGCCACACCATTTTAGTTCAGATATCATTGGTGAAAGGCCAAGTGAACCAGAAGATGTTCAACACAAAGTGAAAAATCAAAGCACATCTGAAGCTGAGTTTATTGAGTTAAGCGATGATGATGAAGATGTAAGGGGTGAAATTGTAGCACCTGCATTTGAAGACCCATATTCTGCTTTATGGCATTGTGTGAGTCCTCTTGGTGACACAAGGGGCCCCTTTAAAATGTCATTGTTAAAGCAGTGGAATGACTCTAGTGATCGTGAATTGAAATTCAAGGTTTGGAGGGAGGGTCAAACGAAAGAAGAGGCAATCTTTCTTACTGATGCTATTCGCCAAAACTTTCCTGGTATGTAGATGTAGTACTTAGTCAGTGGTGAACGAAGACGTAGATATGTGCCCAAATTGAAAGGCGCCGTCGACAGAAATCTTCTGAAGAAATAGAAGGGAACTTATTTTGAAAACTAAATTGTAGGTATGTTTTAGCATGCATGGTAATGGTAGGGACGCAATGTAAGTACCTCATAGGAAGCCAAAAGTTGGGTGGTATATTTTGATTTCATGGTCAAGGTTAAGGTATCTAATCAAGGGAATGATTGGTTACATACTTCTAATCTAGGCCATTGAATTGCATCTAAGAGACTACCAATACATTTAGTGAATGCAATCAAACGGTCAAGATTAGAAGTATGTAACCAATGCTTAACATAAAATATTTGTTGGAGAATCTCTAATCAATCAAGTTCTTGTACAAACATCATTTTGGGTGTATGTATATTTTATTGCATGCAGGCAGCTACCACATTTCTTGATCGAAGGCCATATTTGTTGTTTGGAAGAAAAGGCCTTGTGCGCTAATTCAGTATACCCAAATTTCTTCATCAATCCCTTTGAAGATATACGGGTAAAGCTTTTTTCAAAACCCAAAAATAAATAAATAAATATCCAAAATAATGATGGAACCTCTAGTGAATTTTCAGTTAGAAATAAGTTTACAGTAATCAAAGACATTGAAGCATTGGAGGCTATAAGGCGTACATATAATTTCTGTTGAAATCAATATTTCTATCTTTTCATACTCTCCACATCGGCGCTAACATCAATTTTTAATACCAGGGTTGCAATTGGAGCAAGCAACCCAAGAGACTTCCTTGGCATATCTCAAGAGGACCAGAAATGAATTTTAAGAAGCTACTCATTGTATTCGACATATAATTATAAACCGCAGTTCCACTGAAATTTATATTGAAAATGAATCAAATGTTGTTGCCATCTCTCTTGGAAAAACATTCCTCAAATTTTTATTTTTTTTCGAAACATCCTCTTGCACATCTGTTGTCTTAGTACTAATTCCCGCAACCAAAGAAACTAATGTAACTGAAGTTCAATGAAATGAAAGCGAATAGAGGACAACGCCATCGGCAATATGGCATCGACTTGTATCCCATTTGGTCGCTAATCTGTGGTAGCAGGATAGGGCATTATATTCCATCTGTATTAAATATTGTGAGTTCTGATATTAGGCCTTCTTTCATCCATAAAAGAAAGCCTCAGCTTTCCATTAAGCTTGCACAGGATTCTCAGTGCTTATCTCAGCAGTTTCTGTCCTCAAAGCTTGTAGCCTTTCCTTCAGTTTCTTACTCTCTTCAAAGTTTACCTTCCTCTTCACAGCTTTCTGTAGGACAAATTGAAAGTAATCCTTAAGATTCTACAAGAATATATTTTTTCAAAAAAAACAGAAAGAAAAAAGACCCAAATAACTAAGACTTACTTCCTGCCGAAAACAACGGTCAAGCTTTATTTTGAGATCTGTACATTCACCAAAGAATTTGCCAATAGGATGATCTACATGACACTTCTGAAAATCCTCGATTATCTAGACACAGAAGAAACATAAATAAAATTAGAGGATATATCTATCAACTTGCTGCTAAATGTAACTTGAATTGCTAAATTGACACTTCTAACACCAGAAATTATCAAACAATCACAACACACATAATAGCTCACAAGGTAAGAGTCTTAATGGTATTCTCTATCGAAGTTTTTATCACGGTAAAGCAACATGCCAAGACAGCCATTTATATGACTTCTCTTCTGTAGATTAAAAAGGGATTGTGTGGTCAAAACCTTCTTCCTGCAATCCCATATAAGTTCTAACTCCTAACTGTATCCAACTACTCAAAACTAGCTGCATAACTCCTGTAACAATACACTCTTGCCTATTTGTCTATTGGTGTTTGTAGATAAATGAATTATTTAGGTTACACAAATCTTTCCTCTTTTTGCTATTTGAAACCACACACTATATATATGGCTTGAACTCTGGCTAGCCTGTATGAGTTAAACCACATGATTTACCAAGCACTTTGAAGTGAAGATTAGGTTATTGTCGAGGTGAAAGTGCAAGATTTGAGGGGTTCAAGCAACCCCAATCGCCCCATTTGATGACTCCCCAGGCGTAAGCACAAAACACAACTGTTCAATTTTCACAATTGGACAGCGATTCATGGTATACATATACATATACATATACATATATTGTATGAGACTATGAAGCAATTTAGACAGTGATTCATGATTCTTCAACTACACAAATGGAGATGATCCAATTTCAAATCCAAACCCCATTAGGTGAAAAATGGTACTCAATGGTACGTATGAATGCAATAATAAAGAGATAAATAATCAATAAAATAGAATAAAAAAACAAAAAAAAGATGAAGAAAGTAGTAAAAGGGATGGAGAACTCACTTCTGCACACATGGGGTGCTTGTGTAGCGTTAATGGAGGATGCATCTTCAACGCCCAATTGATTCAACGTCTCTAGCACCCTGCAAAAAACTACACCAACCCTTTTTTAAATATTTTTTTTATATTATATTTATTTTGACATTGTGTTCGTATAAAAGGAAACAGTACCCAACCCAGCAAACATTTTCGATATAGAGAAATAGAATTATCAAATCAAGCATGAAATTTTGGGGATATAGGGGAAATAGGTTTTCAATTTGGACGATAATTATAACCAGAGATAGGACAGATAATAGAAACATACCTTTTAGTTATTGGGTAAGAGGTTTGCTTTGGGTAATTGAAGAAATGGACCAGTTCCAAAAGTGTCCAACAATGTTAATGCTCCTCCTCCGCAGCAGCACCGGCACCGGCAGCAGCTGATGATGGGCTACCAACCACCAAGTTTTTGTGCTCAACCGTGAGTTTTTGGGCCGAATGTGGACTTACTCGGCCTAGAGTCATTTGCTTTAAGAGCTTAATTGACACTTTTTTAAAATAATTTTTTTTATTAAGAGAGCTTATTTGGCGTAAGGTGCTTGAAGTTGTAGCCCAAGTGCTTACGAGCATTTACCTTGCACCTGAGGTCCTAGATTTGACTTCGGCTCCCCTAATATCCCTTGTATCAAAAGAGAGTTTATTTGGCAGTTCAATCTAACTTAAGGCATCAAACAACATCTTACTCATAGGTTAGCTGCTACTTCCAAACCCCAATTTGTTAGACGAGTTATATGGCATGAATTCCAGGTTGTCATATTTCCATTTTCATTTTTCGTTTTTATAGTAATTCCGCGCTCAGCTGAGTTGAGTTGAAATGTCTCAAAAAGGAAAAACGTCATTTTGGGTTGTGGGTTGACGGATTTTGGGGACACAAGGAGAAAGCCACTTGCTTCAAGAAACTTAAATCATTCTTTCTGGTATCCTGATTGCAGCAAGATGAAATTTGTTTTATACAAAAAACAAAAGGAGAGACATATGGACATTTCATTTCTATATATTCTTTGTACACATCCCCATTGAAAGCCACCTGTCATAAGTAAGGCATATGAAATGATGTCCAACAAAACCAATTGCCTTGTAGAACCACGATGGCATGTACCAAAAGAACTACAAAATGATCAAGTAACAAACTTCATCCCACATGCCAGCTCCCAAAACCCTGATGCCGATTCTAGCTTCCTAGCCTGCCTGACTTACATTCTTTAGCAAATCTTGACAAGTTTCATCTTCTATGAGAATTCTGACTAAGCTAACTGTTATGAATCAAATATTCCTATGCATTGATGAAATCTCTCTTGTACTTTGCACTGAAACAGGCCGCTCTCGTATACGAGATAAGAGAATGGAGACTTGCTCGGTTGCTATATCTAGCCTCTCCCTCGACTTGGCAGATTCTGTTACAAGAGTTGATACTATATTCTGCAATAACTGTATTCTTTCTGCATGATCACTTGGAGCACTCTGAAGGAGTTTTGCAGAAGGAATGCTGATACGGCGCCAACGGACAGGAAGATATCTCTCAGGGATTTGAAAACAATTTCCTGTGGAGAGAACTCGAAGTGCATGCCGACAGAGAATTCCAGAGAACTCAAAGTGATGGCAACTGCAACTTATAATGCCTTCCCGTGGAACCCAATATACTTTCCGACCTCCCTCAGCTTTTGTGTGGTGTCGAACAAGAAAAACATCTTCCATCTCAAAAGATGCATAGTGGGCAGCCAAAACAAGTTGTTCTTGAAGCTTAGAGAAAGCATAAGGAGTAAAGGTTGAGGCAGCATGGGATTCCATGGGCGCTCCTGTTTTCAGGGATATATTTTGGAGATTCTGTTGCATTGTTTGTTGTTCTCCAGCTTGATCTTTAAAATCCACAGCGACAGCAACCTGTTCATGCAACCAAAGTAAATAACAGGGGACAGAAAATCTTTTCCATCAAACAAAAGAGATAACTTAAATAGTATAAATTTGCCGAACCTAAAACAACATTAGAGATAACGTGAACTTGGGACCTCCTCTTCACCCAAAAAAAAAATTGTGGCTCCATAAATTTGCAATTTTATAGTACAGATAACAGGTTAACGATCAACTTGCTTGGTTGATGAAACATTGACCACAAGCAGCATAATATGGTAGCTCAAACGTAGGTAAAACATTGACCACAAGCAGCATAATATAGTAGCTCAACACTTCTTAGTTGTTACAGTTGTTTTTTTATATTATGCATGCTTTGGTGTGTCTCACATGAAAAAACATAAAAATTTCCATGTTCTGATGTGCTACAAAATCCTGGGTGACATGACTATATTTATGAGTCCAGCAGCGGAGAGTATTCAAACTCCGCATATCAAGTGGACTAGGCAAGATAGAATTGAAAAGAGCTTACAAAGCATAACTGATATTGAAATATTAATCCTCATGTGGTAATATCATCTCTAAGTTACCTTTAGATTTAACCAACCAAGACACATTAAAATGGATCATAGTAAGACTTCACCAAATACTTTTGACCAAACAAGAGTAAAGGATATCTAAAAATATATATAAAATTATTCCGATTAATCTATTCTAATTTTATTGCAAATTGAAAGAGAGGACACCATACTTGTTCGACAAAATGTGCAAGCCGGGTCTGTGCACTCAAAAATCGTTGGATGAATGCATTAATCGATTTAGACTGTCCAATTGTAGTCATTCCTGCAAAGAAATGGCTTCTCAAGAATGGTAGTGCCCATAGTGAGCGGAGGCCATACAAGTTGACTATGTGCCTGTTAGAGTGAAGCCCAAAAGAATTTACCAAGTCCCTCCATCCTAGTTCAAAATCCTCTATGGACTCCAAATTGTAAATGCGATAAAACTCACTTTTCCACTCATTGTAACGTTCACCCAAAACAGCATTGAACCAGGACGGAAACTTTGCCACTATCATCCATATGCAAAGTGCATGTTTAGTTGTTGGCATTTCCATGCTTATTGCTTCTTTCAGAAACATATTTCCATACAAAACAGAAAACCACAGTAAATTTGGGAGTAATGAAGTAGTTTATGAAAAAAATACATGTTGCATAAGCCAGATATTCATCAAGAGTATAAGAAGATTCCAATCCATATATGTTTCTAGTTCAAACTGACTCTGGAAAAGACTGATAGAGGCACTGAACGCATATGAGGGTGTGATCATCTGCATTTACTGAGTAAGAAAAGTTCCCAACTACATAGGAATTGACTGCCATAAATCTGATAACAACATGCTTCTTAGCACTCCAAAATTTGTACTACAAACTGCCAAAAAATCATTCTTTTTAAAGAGAAAAAAAAATACAGTCCCTTGTTTGAAGTTTGAACCACAATTACCAAATCAATATCTCTTATGCATGGCCAAAACCTGACTGGCCAATCCTTAAGGCGTCACCTTAAAGTTCTCTCACCTCCCATCCTATTGATGCCATCTATTCAATTCAGAATCTAAGTTTACAGTCTCACATGCTCCACTGGCTTTTGGTTAAGTCACACAAGAGAATCGTAATTAATTGGTTAGACCAAGTTAAACTTAAGGTATCCATCTGTGCAATATAAGAGTGATGTGATAGATTGATTGAAGAAGAATGATAATAAGTATATTAGAGTCACTCTATTACCTTCAATGCCCATGAAAATGACCTTAAACTTTCCTCTCGCAGAAGCACACAGCCAAAGAAGCAAGGCATGCCATAATTATTTATTCCAACCCATATCCCGAGTGGCATATCGAATGCAGTTAAGCGATGAGTAGTATCAAACACCACTGCATCACCAAATATCTCATATGACTGGACTGATGATGCATACGACCAGGCAATATTCTCTAATCTGTGGTCTGAGTCAAGTGTGTACTCAAATTTGAAGTTAGGATCTTTCTCCTTGATGTTTCTGCACATTCTCAACAAGTCTATGCTCTCGTCTTCCGGATCTAATTTCCTAAATGTCTGGAGTAAATTCCTCACATCCTTTTCAGTGAATGGTAAATATCCTGGTTGCACACATTTCTCAAGCTCCATGAGCCTCATCATTTGCTGCACAGAAATTCCTGTCTTGGCAAACATAAGTATCCGGCTCTTATCAGCCTCAGATATAGTTCTGTATGCAGGAAGAAAACGAACTTGGTTTGCTTCTAAGAGTTCATGATTATGGTGGTTTGCAAAGCCCGTGACACGCCATTCTGGTGCTCCTAATTCTGTTGTCTTGCTTATCCGCATGTATGCTTGACATCCACACCGGGAGGACTTTCTATTCCTTTGGGGCTTCCTCTCATGGGAGGTTTTAATTGGGGTGTTGCCAGCACGATGACAGACGAAGTAGCGTCTAGTAAGTCCTTTTCCTACCCCATCTTTGCCTTCTGTGCGGTGCCTCCGGATTGAGAATCCGCATTGCTTTGCAAATTCACTATAGTATTCATAAGCCGCATCATGAGTAGAAAATCTTTGTCCTATATATGGAATTACATCATTCGTGGTCTCTAATGAAAGCCTGGTCTCATCAGGTGATTCCTCAGTGCTGCTGGTCTCATCCAAAGACAAAGATCGTTGATCTGATGGATCATCATAAACTACTAACATTACTCCAGCGTCTTCAGACATCATACTGTCATTCTTCTGCTTAATGTAACTCTAAGGGCTGCATATCTGATATTGTAAAAATGAGAAAAAGTATTAATTACTGATTCAACCCAGTATATGAATACATTCTAGGAGAAAAAAAATCTTCCTGGATAGGCCAAGTTAGCATGAAAAACAAAAACTAACAAAAATGAGCTTAATATAGCAAAAGAAATAAAACAAAAATAAAGAAATCATGAGTGATAGTGCTGATTCTGATGATGTTTTTAGTATGACTTCACACTAGCCTCTCCACACATGCTCCTCTCAAGTCCAGACTGCACATCTGAGAGGTTTTTTATTTATTTGTTACATTATGAAAATATAATTCTTACTGATATTGCGATACATACATATCAGGTTCAATAATTGTAACTTAAGTTACAAACTGATGAAAGTAAAAGTAAAGTATGTAGTGACATTCAATAGCAACGTGAATAAAAAAAACAAGGAAAACCAAATTCGGAAATGTCATGCTAAACAATGACGAATAAAAATCACAGAAGCTACAGCATCGACAAGAGTCAGCAACATAGTAGTTAAGACCAATTGTGAAAGCATCTAAATCAATATATGTGGCCAAAAACCAACAGATTTGAGCTAAAGAATTTAGTTTTAAACAATCATTCAGACTATTGCTAATAAGAAAAGAACCATTTAAACCATCATCAACAGAACTTTCATTTCATACTCATAAAGAAAGAAAAAGAAAAAATAAATAAAATCAAACTTTCATCAAATGCTCAACTTTTCTTCAATTTCATACTGTGTATAAACATTAGTTGTTAGAGAAAGGAAAAGAAAAATAATAATAATTGAACTTTCATAAAATAATCAACTTCAGTATAGAGAGAGAGATAGAGAGAGAGTCAAAGAAAAAATAAACAGACCAGAAAAGAAAGCTGAGAAATTTATGGGCATTAGGGGAAGGAGTAGCTTTCAGAATTTTATTTTATTTTTTTAAGGAATGGCAATCACCATTTGAGAAAATAACAGCATTCATGCAGAACAAAATATCCAATTTTCATATATGCTTGCAATGCAAACCCAAAATAGAATTGTTAAAGTAGTTAAATTTATTGGAAAGAACGAAACCTATAATGAAAATATCCAGTATATCGAGACAACAACGAACCCAAAATCACATCAAAGCCATCTCCGAATGGCACAAAACAATGCAAAGAAAACCACAAACCCAGATATCCTCCAAAATCAGTTTCAATTGAAAGGACAAAAAAAGCAACGAAAAAATCAAAAGGCGGTTAAAAGCGACCTTGGCAGAGAGTACGGAATCAATGCAGCAATCAGAATCTGTGCTGCGAAATTTGTATTTTGCGTAGAGTTGTGTTGAGCTTCTCCTTCTTCAGCCCCGATAGTCGCTGTGACTTTGCTTCTTATTTCAAACTCACTTAGCCAAGCCCCGATAGAGTTTTCTTTCCCTGACTGTTCATTTGTTGTCTGAGCAATCCAGCTGTAGCTGAAGGCGTCACTTTGATTTTTCTGTTTTGCTTCTCAAGTCTGTTTTGGGCTTCTTGGGCTTGCCTTAGGAGTTTTATGAATCTCATTTTTGCAGACCCAATAAAAACGGAGTTTCACTGTTATGCTCAATATTGGAGCTTCTACAATGAGGAGTTAAAGTGAGGAGACCTATCCGACCGTTAAAACATTTCAAATATTTAAATCCCATGATTTCTTTACATTTGTTAATGGTGAGATTTGACTTCCTCCAATAACCTTCTCACTTTAAGCCCTCATTATAGCTTTTCCATGCTCAATATAGGGGTCCAAATTATTATTAAAAAATATATAATAAAAAACTCTACATAAAATAGACTTTAAAAACACACATAAAACTCATTTACAACATAACAAAGAGGCTTCGAACTTCCTAATAAATTATAAAACTACTATCGATTTCTTAAAACAAGTCAAACCCCAAAACCTCATAAAAAAACCAAAAACACTCAACAGGGCATCAAAGTAATTTAATAAGCAAAATTTAATTTAACAAGTCAGCTGTCCTTTTTTAAGTTTGTTTATAAAAATTAAATAATGTAGAACTTATCTATATCAGTAATACTAAAATTAGTTATATAACTAAATACCTCAAAAGGGAAGTCATCTCATCCTGCAATAGAAAGCATAGAGAGGCAGAGAGGTGGGATAAAAAGTAATGAGAGGGTGAGAAGGAGATAGATATAAGGTGGAAAGTCATCGTCGCCTAATTGTTCTTACTTGTCAAAAAATAAAAATATTGAGTACTAGGTAACTGGAGAAATTATGATATTAAGGTGCATGACATTTTTATTACAATTTTCATTTTTTTAAAAAAAAAAATTGGGACAAATTTTCAACAAATTGAGGTTGGTATGCCATTGCCTACCATGTCGTCGTTTGTTAATAGTTCTGAAAGAAAATAAAAGTTCTTGGTATATATATAGTTATTCACTCATTCATATGTCTGCACGTTATTATCGTACATATATCATCTATATGTCTGCACGTTATTATCATACATATGTCATTGTAAATAAGGAAGAAAATCTGCATAGAAAAATTATATATATATATATATATATATACTCATGCCATCTCAATGAAGGTTAGTCATCTTTAATACTTCTTTTGCCATAGTTAGACAGCTTTAAATCGCCAATTCATTATATCGTATGGTGAAGAATGTATTTGGAAATTGGCATTCAGTTGGACTTCAATTACTAATAACCTCATGCATGCTTAATTTGTTAATCAAATTTTGCCAGCATAATAATACATATAAAAAGAGAAAAAAAAACAAAGAGAGGCAAAGTAAACACATACATAAGTTAGGTTAGTTGGCCAATATAATGTGTTTGCTCCTTTGCACTCGAGTTTTATTTTTTCTATTTTAATCAAAGGCGAAAGCTTTTATTGATAAGTAGAGATGAACAAATACAAAAATCGGGTTATGTCCAAGAGGATTAGGTGAGTACCTCTACATTCAATGGATATTTGGTCGTTGGTCTACCAAGGTAGCTTACATTCTCAACCGCTAGCGAGAGAAAGAACCTTACCTTCGTTAGAGCTTCCCCCATCCCCTAGGAAGATGCTCGTAAAAACTACTTGTTATAATCCTAAAAATAAAACATCAAGAATAAACTACTTGAAATATTATCGTATTAAAAAAAAAATAAAATAAAAAAAAAATAAAAAAGAACTCTTTGAATGATATTCCTTTTCACAGGCTCGACCCACAGGGTGTGTGGGCTGGGCGACACCACAAGGCCTCCAAAAAAATGAGGCCTCTTATTCACTTCCAATCCAATAAAGATACTAACAAAAAAGAAATTTTATGTGTGAAACTAATGCTTTTTGGGCTTTATTTTGAACTTTTTAGGGTCTTTTTCTTTATCTTTACTATAATGAGTCTTTTTGGGGCCTCATTTTTAATTTTTGCCCTAAGCGGTCCTGCCTGTTCAAAACCCAATTTGGTTGCAAGCACTACACCTGATATTTGGTTTACCAAACCATACCACAACGTGAAGCATGAATGGGGTGGAATTATTTGTTTATTGTTTCTTAGTAAGAGAAACATGAATGGAATACTGACTTTGAACAAGTGGTGCACGTTAGATTTATTTTATAGAGAGAGAAAAAAAAACTCCATTATTGAGCAATTATGGTGGCACAACTCAAGCACATTGCATAGGAATCGGATAGTCGTATTAGTCTGCTTGTAGTTATTGCAGTAGGATTTCCAAAATTTATTTATTTAGAAGCACGTTTCATTATTAGAAGAATGAAAGAGAAGGTTAATAAAGATTATGTTATTGCAAAGGAAGCAAACCCACGAGTTGATGTAATGAAATTATAGCATGATAATTTTTTGCAAAGGAAGCAAACTCACGAGTTGATATAATGAAATGATGGCATGACAATGGATACCAAAGTCCTTGTCTCTATGCCATTATTAATGGAGATATATATTGTGGTGTGTTTCTATGTATCTAGAATAACCCTGCGTGGTTACTGTGCTTTCACATTTGTATCAATAATTTTTGCCCTTGTGACTTATGATCTTGATGCCTAAGTTATGGATACAATTATCGGTTACATTAAACAAAAAAAAAAAAGTCATTGGAAAATGACTTCCATTATTCAAGACTGGCCCCTTGGCACACGCATGTGCCAATTGGTTTTCTTTTTTATTTTTAAAATTAAGAAAATATGACATGGATAGTTATGTTCATAAATATTTATATATATATATATGACCTATTATCTGATTTTGTTTTTATTTTATGTTTTTTTAAATATGAAAAAAAATTTAAATTTACCAAATTATCCTCATTTAATTAATAATTTCAATTCTTAATATTTGAATTAACCAAAGACATTTTCTAGTATTTTGAATGTTTCACTATTCTCTGTCTTTTGCTTTATATATATATATGTTCGTTTTCTTCTCTAGCAAATTTCCATGGTCCACTTATTTCATAATTTCAGAGAGGCAAATATGGTAGCAAATCATTTAGCTAGTATTAATCATTCACTTTTACATTCTTTCTTGTATTTGGTTTAATAATTTCCCTTCTTAAGTTGTTATCGTTAAAATTTAACTTTTTAAAAAAAAAATATTGGAAGAAAATCTTCATTGTAATTTACTTTGTACCTTAAAAAAAAAAAAGTGTCTCCACTTTTGAGGCCGATTCTTTTATTTTTCTTAATTAAGGACATCCTAATTACCCAAAAAAAATTAAGAGACGACATCCAGGAAAAAAAGAGGAAAAAGGGGGAAGGACACTTGTTAGCAAGATATGGCGAGTAGCAAACAGTGTAAACGAGAGAGTCGGTAGGGGATGGCGCACTTCCCCTCCACTATCCAAACATTCCAGCGTCTCTCTCGCCGCGTGCGTTTCGGTTCAAAGTGTCTCTAGTCATCATTGTCATCATTGTCAAATGTCAATAATATCATCATTATCAGGTCTTAACAACAAATTAAAACACAAAATTAAACCCACTTGCTTTCTTGCTTTGCCTTCTTCTTCTGCTTCTTCCTAATTACAATATTTAATTAATTTAATTTCAAATTAGCACTCTCTCTCTCTCTCTCTCTCTCTCTCTCTCTCTTGCTTTTACTGGGTTTTGAAGTGTTTGGCTGTTGCTTCCAGAGAGCGACACCGTTTGGGCCCCCGGAGAAGCATTGGCTGGCTGGCACCCTTTGCATGCCTGCCCTTTGGTTGGACCTTCGGTTATGTGTTTGACATAAAAAAGTGTGATTCTGTTTTTTTTATATGACTTTTTGGCATTCCTTTCTTGATTCTCAGACTTTTCTTTCTTGTGCTTCTTTCTTCCTTTCTCTTTTAGAAATTGAAAAGCGAAGAACCAAAACTTGTCTCTTCAACTTATTCTTCTTCTTCTGTTCCTTTCCTTGCTTGCAACAACAATGATCAACCTTTTCAATCCTGTAAGCTTCTCTCTCTCTCTCTATGGATTTTTGTTTGTAGTTATGAGCCTGAAAATGATTGATTATATCTTTTGTGATTCTACTTAACTGTCTTCTACCTACCGACTGGATCATTAATAACATTAATTATATATATAATTGTTTTTTTTTTGGGTTTAATGGAGTTCGAATACTATTTTGCTTTGTTTGCTGAGAAAATATAGAGGAAATGGAAGGAAAACGTATCTTTTTCTCTCTATTCTTTGTTTCCCCGCCGCCAGACTGGTTGCCCATGAGTTCAATTTTGTACAGGTTATGGGAATTGAACTTCAATTTGGCAGAGACTTTGTTACGAGAGAGAAAGGCTTTGAATTTGAGACTGAGTTATGATTCTCTTTGATCATAGTTGCACGAGTACATGGACATGGGTATTTACTTAAAAGCGAGATAGTTTTATTGTTGTGTGGAATTTGGATTAGTGATCACTTAAAATTGTTTTCCTCTGTTTGCTTATTGAGAATTTTTTTTGGAAAGGAAAAGGTCAACGTTTGTTGTTGGTTAGCTTAGCTTCAGATATTTTAATTTCTTTGGCTAAGAAGTTAATAATTCTGCGTCAATTAGTTTGGAAGAATGCTTATGACTACTTTAAATCACTTCTGCTTTCGTTCTGCCTTCATTGTTTGCTTTCTTATTTTCCCTCTGCTTCCGGATACGGCCAACCGATGCTCTTGATGGATCAAATGCAATACAATGTGATTGTTACTTAGCTCAGTGTTTTTGTCAGGCCTCTGCACTGTCAGATCCAAAGAACAGATCTTTCTATTGCAGTCTCTTCATTGTAGCTTCATTGATCTGTGGTGCTTACTTCATTGGTGGTGCATCCATTGCTAAGGAGTATAAGGAGGTATGTCTTTCTGTTTCAATATCATCTACTGCGTGTAAAATATTTCTGCAAGTTATGTGCATCTTTTATTCTACATTAGCAAAGAAAAAAAAATGTCTAAATGAATTTTTTGTGTGGTCATCTCTTATTAATTAAATACTTCTAAAAAATTTGCAGAGATTAACAAGATGGAAAGGGATCTACACTAGGCAGAACACAAAGTTTGATACATGCAAGGTTTGCCTCTTACAGAAAAAAATGTGTCCTTTTTATAATGGCAGTTGAAGTTACTTCTATGGCTGATTTTCCCCTCTTCTTCCTCAGAACCGTTGCCAGCCTTTGGGGAGTGAGGCACTACCAGAAGGAATTGTTGCCCAAACATCGGACTTGGAAGTGCGGCCTTTATGGGGCTCCTCTGTGAATAATGTATGAGATGTTATGGCTTGTTCTCATTGAATTTTAGATAATGCCATTGGTTCATCAGTTAGTTTATAAATCTCTGTAGTTATTTCTGGTTAATTTCTCAATGGGAATGTGGGAATGCATACTCATCCTTGTATGAGAACCATGAATTTTATTGCTAAGTAGTATTTTCTCCCGTCTTCCATGTGCCTTTAATATATCATTTATGGTGACTAGTTTCATCATTGTATTACATGTTTTCTAAAGTTTTGCTTGGTCCGAAAGCCGGTGAAATCTGTTTGATCTGAATCTGATAAAAAATTTCTTATTATTAGTTCTATATCAGTAACATCTGATTATAGTTTGCCTCAACCATTTTAACATCTTAATTTCATAAGAAGTAAAAAGCGTGTTGTTTTAAGTTGTAAGCTATCAATCATTAATCTTCAATGCATTCATCCCCAAATATAACCGACAGCACGACAACTTACTTCAGTTGAGGATATCACAATTTTCACACCTGATTCTTCTGACCGTGTGAACATGATTAGCTTCATATACATTATGTTCTTAAAGTAATCATCCGTTTTGGAATCAGCTAATGTTGGTACGTAAAGCATTATATTATGTTTACACAAATTGTTGCTTGAATTACCTTTATTGGCTTCTAAAACTAAAATGTTCTTGTTCCTGCTTGCTATGTTGCGAATCATGACAACATCTTTTTCTCCATGCTGTATGGATTTTTTTTATAATGTTTATGTTTCTTTACAAACGACTGCACATTTTTTTAAAGACTTTTCCCACAAATAAGAAAGCTTGCAAATTCTAGTTTAGGGACATTGTAAATTCTTTATTGCACCCGCTTCATTCCCGTTGTTATTTTCTATTTACCATAGACATATTAATGTGTTTGTGTATCTATATTTTTCTTTTATTTTTTTTGGTGGGTTTATGCTGCCTAAAAATTGCAAAATTCTTGTGTCAGGAAAACTCAAAACCTTCTATGAGCTTGCTGGCAATTGCAGTTGGAATAAACCAGAAAGAAATAGTTGACAGAATTGTTAAAAAGGTAATGATCTATTGGCTCATGCCCTTTACATTAGAATATTCTATCCATTTATGATGTTTTGAAATATCTGTTGTTGTTTTGCAGTTTCTATCAAGTGATTTTGTTGTAATGCTTTTTCATTATGATGGTGCTGTGGATAAATGGAGAGATTTAAATTGGAGTGATCGTGCCATACACGTGTCTGTGATGAATCAAACAAAATGGTAACATTGATTCTCTCACGTGGTTACCTAAAACTATAGTTAGTTACAAATAAGTTACCATTCATTGGGTGGGAACACTCTCTACATGTTTGGATAACATCTTGATGAAACAATACTGTATGATGACATAGGTGGTTCGCCAAGCGTTTCTTGCATCCAGATATAGTTTCCGAGTATGAATATATTTTTCTTTGGGATGAGGACCTTGGAGTTGAGAATTTTGACCCGAAACGGTAAGCATAGTCAGTTAAAATTTTAAAATGATCTTGGCACCCTATAGTGATTACTATTAAATTTCACATATCATTCTGGTCTGCTATGATGGTATTAATAAAATACAATATGACACAGAGATGTAATGCATTGTGTTTTGATCTTGTTAATCTCATGTAGATATCTATCCATTGTTCGGGAAGAGGGACTTGAAATATCACAGCCAGCACTTGATCCTGACAAGTCAGATGTGTATCATCCAATTACTGCACGTGTGAAGAAATTAAAAGTGCACAGGTTAGTGCAGTTTGTTTCCTGGAAACTGGATTTCCTATGGCAAAAGTACTGCTTAATATATGAAAAGACCAATGCTGGTGAGGTACTGTTTAGTCCTTGGGGTATATTTGAAGAGAGAAAAATATAGGGCTGTATATTGCTTGATTAGTCCTTGCGCTAACTTTCAAGCCTGCATGTTTTAGCTCAGAGATATTTATATCATAGTTACAAAAATACACGTAAAAGCCAACCCCTAATGGAGACTAATAAAAGACAATAATTTCAACCATAAGTTAGACAGCCACCAGAATCCAAAAGTTTAACCTGTTAGGGAATGCGCCAGCAATGTATATCAACCATATTTTATTACCTGTCCATTTTGGTGGCCTGCTTTGACCCAGACCACGACCTGGCCCGACGGGTAATCTTTGGGCATTTTATTTGTAATGACCTAGTATACATAAATTTCATTTGCAGTTATGTAGAGGACGAGCTATGATTGAATTTGAGAGGAATGGGCAAACCATATGCATTTGCTTTGTGGATTTTACTATTGCTATGGTTCTTTTCATCAATTACTTTCTGGCATGGGATTTCTCATAACTTGTATTTTTCTTAGTGTAATATTATTTTTTTACTCTGGGATATCACGGTATACATTAGAATTGACTTTTATCCATCTTCGCCTAATTTTTGAACAGAAGGTTTTATAAGTTTAAAGGCAGTGGAAGGTGTGACGACCACAGCTCTGCTCCTCCGTGTGCAGGGTAAGCAACTGCCTATGCACTATCCTCTATGTTTATATTTCTGAATAAACTATTACATCACTGAAACGTTTCCTTTCGGGTGGTTGGTACAGTTGGGTGGAAATGATGGCACCTGTATTTTCAAGAGCTGCTTGGCAATGTGTATGGTACATGATCCAGGTAAATAACCCCTAGAAAACCAACACCACCCACATTCACAACATATTTACTTTTGGTAATGAACAAAAATACATGACAGAGTGTAGATAGGTTGCCAATAGATCTCATCATTTATGCCTCCACCAATTTTTTATTATTAATGGTTACACTGAATAACCCGTGTAAGTTAAACACAAGAATATATTGTTGTAGAAACAACCATTAGATGCAAAATAATATTTTATTTTGGATAATTTTTACTATTTTCTAGAAAGGTCAGTCCAGAAGCCTTGCTATAAAGTATATAGTTACTATGCACTATATGTAAGTGCTTTTGAAATTTCGGAAGTCAAAATTGGATTATGTCAACTCTGCACTGTATTTTGTTTCTATGGAAATTTTTCTATAAGAAACTTTATGGTGAATATAATTATTCTGTGATTATTTATTCTCCCTACAGAATGACTTGATCCATGCATGGGGCCTGGACGTGCAGCTTGGTTATTGTGCACAAGTAATTCTTCTACCTTATAGCTTTCATTTTTAACTCCTTGGCTATACTTTGTGATACCAGAACTATTATCTTTCAGGGAGATCGCACAAAAAATGTTGGTGTGGTTGACTCTGAATATATAGTTCATCTTGGTCTTCCTACACTTGGTGTCTCAGATGGAAATAAGGCAAGTATAGTGGCATCAATGCATCTTGGGCCTCTTTAACTGTTTACAATAGTAATGTTGAAGACTCGTCTGGATTTTTACTGTTTGAGTCCGATACATCTATAGCTTATGCAACATCATTAGTGTGAAATACTTGGATTGATGCAAGATGTACTCTTATATAAACGTTTATTGATAAGGATGTGTATCAAACATGATTTCTGGTTTTGTTCTAGCCGGATAAGCTGACCCATGGTCTTGATGTTCAATATATTCTCTGATTTTTTTTTCTTTTCCATCTATTCCTCTGCATAGGTGACTAATGCTCCAGCTCCTCCTCAGAAAGGGGACCCCGAAGCATTGGTGTGTTTTGAATTTCTTTTTCTGTATTAGATTCTTTATTTACATATATTGTGAGTTCATATTTTGTAATTTCAGGCACCATCTGCCTCTGATAAAGTCAATGACAGAGCTAAAGTAAGCCTTCTTCACATGTCCTATTTTATCAACTGCTTTGTCCTGCTCATCAGGATTGTAGATTCTGTCAATCTTGTATTCTCTCGCTCTGTGTGCACGCACATGGGCATTTGTAGACAATGCAACTATTTCATGTACATTCTTTGCAACTACTTATCTGGTGAGTGTGACATGTTGGCAGGTTAGGATGCAGTCCTTTATTGATATGCAGATCTTTAAGGAAAGATGGAGTAATGCAGTAAAGGAGGATAAATGTTGGGTTGACCCATTTCAACTATCAGCAAACTGAAGTATCCATAAAGTCTATTTACAGGACACCCATCACGCAAAATGCATGGTTGGTGGCCCTTCTTATACACAGACAACAGAAATCAGACTCACACCACTGTGCATACAATTACTGCGTGAGACAATATATCGCAAACGACATATAGAATTTTCTGGTGATGCAGATTCATTTCAAACAGCTGACGACAGCTATTTGAAGACTGACATGGAAGTTGTGATATGAAATTCACTCACCAATTTTGTTGAATAGCTGGTGCCTGGTGACACAACGTATTGTTGTATTCCGGGCAGGAACGGTCTGTCCAGCTTATTTTGTTGTGATTGTATCATCAATTCGTTGTAAATCGCATCATATAAAGGCTCTTTTGTTGATAAAGGTTGTACATTTCTGTTCTCTTTAGGGAATTCAGTGTTTGTTTAGATGCAATTGTGTGTAAAGCTTGCAGTTTATTAAAGCGAACAGATAAGCGGAAAGAATCCTCTAGCCGGCTCTTTGGCAATTGATGGGTAAGTGAAGCATTAGCTTAATTGTGAAGGGAGAAGAAAGGGAAGGGCATGAAACTATTTGAGTATGAAGTGAAGTTTTTAGAACTGCAACCGTATATTTCATAAAAATAAAACACAACCATGGACATCATCATCACAAGAAGCTTACACAAAGTTGCAAAACAATACAAGCCTAGAATCCAACACTTTGATTTTGCATAACATAGCCTGATCGTTCTCTGTAATTTTTGCGACGTCATTAGTTAACATGTCACATATTGTTACATCTAACATGCTCTTTCCAACTAACGCCCTATTCGAGATTGCTTTTATTTTTTTCACCAAAAGTCTGTTTTACTTTAAAGTTAAGGTGTTTACTAAACCATATAAAATTGGGATATGAGTGGTTTTAATTACTAAAATATTCTCATTGTTCGGTTAAAGTAAATGACAAATTTGGAATTTTAAAAATTGTGTGATGATATAATGGGTAAAAAAGATGGATTTGTAATGGGTTAGTTCTCTAGAAATTAGAATACTACCTCTAACTCAAGAATTGAATTCCTGATTTTGTGTGGGACCTACTTACTTTTTAATTCATTGATGTGAAGTAAACTCAGAAATCCTCCATAATTGATTTTCAATTCCTTATTAATAAATACACCATAAGATGGTGGATATTAAATGCTACTACACCAAATGGTCATTGAACAAAACGTCCCAAAAACAAAAGAGAATTTGGAAACCCAGTGGGGTTTTAGACTTATTTTCTCTAATATGTCGAATACTTATTATTATTATTATTGTTAATAGAACTAATAGTCCCTAAACTATAGGGGAGAAGGTTTCTCATGCACATACTACCACGATGTTATGGAGTTTCGAATATGAGACCATTAATATACAAGATAATATCCATTTGCAGTGGGCTAGATCATGTTAACATGTAGGATAACTTGGATTTGTCATGTCCTGGCCGGCCCACCGAATCAGGCCTAAAGGTCCATGAATTTAGTTTCGTTGAGTTGAGCCCGCATCTGCAGGTGCTCCAGCCAGCCGTGACTCTGTGAGTTGGAAATTGGAAGTGAAGCGTCAAGGAGTATGCAGAGAGAGAAACACAAACCTACTATTCTCCCCTCCTCCTCCTCAACACCACCATTTTCTCATTTTTCTGATTCAATTTTTTTATGCAAACAGTAGGCTTTGAACCTTTTTTCTTACTCCCTCAAATCCAAATGCAATCCATTCTCGTGAACTGAAGAATTGGGTGGTCCTCCTCCTTCCTCATCCATCCAATGCCCCAACAAAGAAGAAGATGATGAGAAAACCCAAACCCATTGCCATTATCTGTTGTATCAACCACCCACCTGAGCCCTTTCTCTCTCTCCTCCTCCTCATCAAACCCTTCTCCTCCTCTTCCACCATTGCCGCTGCTTCTCCTTCTCTTCCTCCAGTCCCCGAACAGCCACTGGATCTCTCCTCCCAGCTCTTCGCCATTCTCTCCCGCCCCAATTGGCAACGCCACCCTTCCCTCAAGAAACTAATCCCCTCCATTTCCGCTTCCCACGTCTCTTCCCTTTTCGCTCTCAATCTCGACCCCCAGACCGCCCTCGGCTTCTTCAACTGGATCGCCCTCAAACCCGGTTACAGGCACACCGTCCATTGCCATTCCTCCTTGCTCAACATTCTGATCCCCAATGGGTTCTTCCGGGTCGCCGAAAAGATCCGAATTTCGATGATCAAGGCTTCCTCTAGAATTCGAGTTCAAGCTCACTGTCAGGTGCTACAATTTGCTCCTAATGTCATTGTCTAGGTTTTCCTTGTTTGAAGATTTGAAAACTCTGTATTTGGAGATGTTAGACGATATGGTTTCGCCGAATTTGCATACGTTTAATACCATGATCAATGCTTCCTGTAAATTGGGCAATGTGGCTGAGGCAGACTTGTATTTTAGTAAGATAGGGCAGGCGGGCTTGCGCCCTGATACGTTTACGTACACTTCTTTGATTCTGGGACATTGTAGGAATAAGGATGTGGATACTGGCTATAGGGTTTTTAAGCTAATGCCGCACAAGGGTTGTCAAAGAAATGAGGTTTCCTATACTAATTTAATACATGGATTTTGTGAGGTAGGTCGGATTGATGAGGCTTTCAAGTTGTTTTCTCAAATGGGGGAGGATAATTGTTTTCCAACTGTGCGTACATTTACCGTTCTTATTTGTGCATTGTGTAAATTGGGAAGGAAATTAGAAGCTATGAATCTATTTAAAGAGATGACGGACAAGGGTTGTGAACCAAATATTTATACTTATACCGTGCTCATTGATAGTATGTGTAAGGAAAATAAGCTTGATGAGGCTAGAAACTTGCTAAACAAGATGTTGGAGAAAGGGTTGGTTCCTAATGTTGTCACCTACAACGCAATGATTTATGGGTACTGTAAGGAGGGAACAGTTGAGGCTGCACTTGATATTTTGGCTTTGATGGAGTCAAGTAATTGTTGTCCAAATGCTCGAACATTCAATGAATTGATTTCCGGGTTTTGTAAAAGGAAAAATGTATACCAGGCAATGACACTGCTTAATAAGATGCTTGATCGGAAGCTCTCGCCAAGCCTAGTTACATATAATTCATTAATCCATGGGCAGTGTAAGATAGGCCATTTGGATAGTGCTTATAGGTTGGTTAATTTGATGAAAGATAGTGGTTTGGTTCCTGACCAATGGACTTACAGTGTTCTCATAGACACTCTCTGTAAGAGGGGGAGATTGGAAGAAGCTCATGCCCTGTTCGATTCTCTCAAAGAGAAAGGCATAAAGTCAAATGAAGTGATCTTTACTGCTTTGATTGATGGTTATTGCAAGGTTGGGAAAGTCAGCGATGCCCATTCCTTGCTTGATAGAATGCTTGCAGAAGACTGTTCGCCAAACTCGTACACTTACAATACCTTGATAGATGTGTTGTGCAAAGAAAGAAAACTGAAGGAAGCACTATTACTGGTGGAAAAAATGTTAAGTATTGGTGTGAAACCTACGGTATCTACTTATACAATTCTAATTAAGCAAATGTTGAAAGAAGGGGACTTTGACCATGCTCATAGGCTTTTCGACCAGATGGTGTGTTCTGGTAATCAACCTGACCTATTTACTTACACTACATTTATTCATGCATATTGCGGCATAGGGAATGTAGAAGAGGCAGAGAAGCTGATGATTAAGATGAATGAAGAGGGAATTATAGCAGACTCATTGACTTATACATTATTAATTGATGCATATGGACGTATGGGATTAATTGATTTGGCATTTGATGTTCTTAAGCGTATGTCAAATGCTTGTTGTGATCCTTCTCACTATACCTATGCCTTTCTGATCAAACATCTTTCGAATGAAAAGTTAATGAAGACAAACAATAATATAGTGGGACTTGATTTGGTCCCCAATGTCTCCTCCATCGATATTACTGGTGTATGGAAGACAATGGATTTTGAAATTGCTTTAGAGCTCTTTGAAAAAATGGTTGGGCATGGTTGTGCACCCAGTACGAACACTTATGACAAGCTTATAGTAGGTCTTTGCAAAGAGGGACGCTTGGACGTAGCCCAGAGTTTATACAGTCATATGAGAGAGAGAGGAATTTCTCCCAGTGAGGATATTTATAATTCTTTTCTTACTTGTTGCTGTAAGTTGCAAGTGTATGGAGAGGCATCAATATTTGTGGATGCGATGATTGAGGATGGTTATTTACCAACATTGGAGTCCTCAACTTTGCTTGTATGTGGGCTTCTTGATGAAGAGAAGACTGAGAAGGCAAAAGCCGTTTTTCGTACTTTGCTTCGTTGTGGGTATAACTACGATGAAGTAGCTTGGAAAGTTCTCCTTGATGGTTTACTTAAGAGGGGTCTTGTCAATATATGCTCTGAGCTCGTAAGCATCATGGAGAAGATGGGTTGCCAGCTTCATCCTCAGACATATTCGATGTTGATTGAGGGAATTGATGGACCGTAAAATACCGATATTTGATGTTGGTGTTTTCTGGGTTTTAAATCTTTATCTGTGAGCACTACAAGCAAAGTGATTTAAAAAAATTTATATTCACAGTGATTTTGTGTAAGCGCTATGAATTGTGAATACGAGCGTTTACACCTAGTTATTTATGTATCGAGAGAATGTGACACAGGATTTGTAGTCTTTCAAGTGTTTTATTTGCTATGTGAATATGCTTTCTCTTCATTCAGCGAGTACATATATCATATGTTTCTCTGGGATGAGGACCTTGGCGTTGAGGATTTTTTGACAAAAAATGGTAAGCATAACCAGTTAACTTTGATAGAATGATCTTTGGCATTCTGTGACGTGATTGCTGTTAGATTTCACACTATTTTGGATGCTTTGATGTTTTAGATTTAAAAAAAAATGCAATCCTGCACATGTATGTATGCTTATTTCCTGTGCACAAGGCTATTAACTGCAATATCTGAATCGGAATTATTAGAATGTCATGATTTTGTTTAATCTGAGTGCACAAGAAATTAAACCTAGAATAGTTAAATGCCAAAGTCTAGTTTCTCCAAATTAGAGTCACAAAGCCATTCAATTACCCCTAAACACACACACGTGAATGCATAATATGTGACTATTTCTCCTAGTAATAAGTATTATACCTCACATTCTTGTCTTTCCGATAAAAAACTGTCTCACATATTTATACAACAATAGTTTGAACAGATTTTATGGAAAAATTGTTAGAAATGAAGGCATTACTTTTCCTGAAATAATGGTTTTAAAATTTAGACCACTACTTTACCATTTTCTTACTAGTAAAGATGATGAAACTAAACCAATCTTTGTATTTTGAACAATAAGACACATTATCACATAAACAATTTTTTTGTTTCTCCTTTTATCCCATGGTGCTCAAATTTTTTTATTCCATCATGAACATGTTAAATCTCGTGTAGATATCTAGCAACTGTTCGGGAAGAGGGACTTGAAATATCACAGCTTGCAGTTGGCTGCCAACTCAGAGCCGTAACGTTCAGTCAATGCATGCATGAAGAAATCAGAAGTGCAGAGGTTAGTGTATTTCTTTTTCCTGGATAAGTAGATTTCTTTTGTAATATTGCAGTCTAACTAATAGCCACAGTACTTGAAAACGAAGGCACCAATATAGTTGAGGGATTTATCAGCACATGGATTTCTTTCAAGACAAAGGAAAAAAGAAAAAGAAAAGATAAAGCTAAAAGAAAATAATGGAAGGTAGAATTTTGGCATTTTGTAAGTGAAAGGTACTCAGGGAAGAATAAAAACTTTCCGGCAAGAATACAGTTAATAATGGTGGTCTTTTCTGATGGAAGAACATATCTGACCTTTTTCTGTTGCTTTTTAAGTGTAAACATATCTGGCTTCATCTTTTTCGAGTCTATAGATTTCTTTTCACTTCCTGTGTGGTGTCATTGCACTAGGGAGAGTCTCAAACCCCAAACCCTAAACCCTAAATCTTTGACCTTCAGTGAAAGTAAAAGTTTCTGCTTCGCTTTCCTTCTAAGAGATCCATCTTTACTCTGATTCTTATTTCATTTTTCTATAAATTTTGTCCTCTTCCTCATGACCCAGATTGATCTTTAAATTTACATAGGAACCTAAACTTCCAAAGGAGCAAAACCCAGCAATTTGATTTTTTTCCCCCCCAAAAATTGTTTCACATTCGGTCATCTTAGTCCTTATTAGGCCAAGATAAATAGGGGGAGTGTAGACATCTTTTATAAGAGGATTGAAAGTCTGATGGTAAATTTTCTGTGCGGAGGAATGATGGGAGGGAATAAGGGTAATTTGGTCAAATGGGACTTGGTGATGCACATGAAGGAAAAAAGGGAGTTTAGGTGTTGGGAATTTAATAAGGAGAAATAAACCTTTACATGTGAAATGGTTATGGAGGTTTTCACAGGAGAGGGATGCTCTTTGGTAGGGGTTGCATGACAACAGGTGGGGTTTGTAAAATTGTGACGAGAGGTTTAGGTCGATGTTGGTTTGGGGTTGGAAATGGACAAGGCGTGAGGTTTAGAGAAGACTGTTGTGTAGGAGAAACAGCTTTCTGTAATCTATTTCTTTGTTATGCAGATGATCCCTTTTCCTTAATATCCCATTGCAAGCTCGTGTACGGATTCTTCTTCTTTTCTTTTGAGCTAGGATTTTGGGTTTAGAAGGAATCTAAATTATCAGGATGTGGGGGTTAACAGAGTTATTGGCTGTCTTTGAAAATGTGTGGTTCCATCTAGAGTGGATGGAAGAGTATGGATTTTGGGGTTGCTGGGAGTCTTCTCATGTAATTTTTTTTTCAAAGCAGCTAATGGACAACTCTTCTCTCTCCCTTTTTGGCCCCTCGCATGCAATTTGAAAGGCTGAAGTACCTCCTAAGGTAGGGGTGTTAACTTGGATTATAGTTCATGGGTGGTTGAATACTTGTGATATGGTTCAGAGGAGGCAACCTTCTTGGTGCCTTTTACCCCATCCGTGTCTGATGTGTAAAAAATGATAGTGCAAGATTTGAGTTCTTTGGAGGCAGAAAGAGGGGCATAGTGTTGAAAAGATGCACTGTGTTGGTAATTTTTTGGGTGGTATGGATAGAGGTATAGGAGGATCTTTGAGGAAGGGGTGAGGAGGTGGATCTTGTGGGAGAGGGTTCGATTTTGGGCATCCCTTTGGCGTGAGTACCTTCAGAGTTTAGGAACGAGCTCTTCTCAGACTGTTTTTGATGATTTGGAACGCTGCTGTATTTTAGCCTTTAAATCAATCTATCTGCGTTTAATATTGTACATCAAATCAATCTGCGTTTAATACTGTGCATCAAATCAATCTGCAGGCAAATTGCTTTTATGAGTAAGGAAGTCAAAATTGGGTTGCGTCAACTCTGCACTGCATCTTGTCTTTATGGGTAATTGTTCTCTGATTAATTATTCCCTCCAAAGTGACAGAATGACTTGATTCATGGGGGTGTGAAATGCAGCTCTGTTATTTTGCACAAGTAACTTTCCAGTGTTTTAGGCTGTAGGCTTGTAGCTTCCATTTTTAACCCTCTTGGCTGTGTTCCTTGACTATCTTTCAGGGAGATCGAACAAAAAATGTTTCTGTCATCGGCTCTGAATGGTTTATCATAGTTTTCATACATGGCATCGCAGATGACGTTAAGGCAAGTAGCCAAGTATCAGCCTCTTCAGGTTTTTAACTGTTTGGAATGGCAATGATGACAAATTGTCTGGTTTGTCACGGTTTGGGTCCTACCCATCTATAGCAGGTGACTAACATCAATAGTTTGATGAATATAAGCTGATACGGATGTGCATTCGAAATGGTTGCTTATTTTGTTTTGGCAGGATAAGCTCACCTTTGGCGTAGATGTTCCATGTTGTCACACTTTCCATCTATTCATTTGCACAGGTGAATATTGCCCTACCTCCTCAAAAAAAGACTCAAAAATATGTGTGTTTGAATTCTTTGTTAATTTTCATTTTTCCTTGCATTAGATTATTGATGTACAATGAGAATTTATGAACCCTCGGGTTCCCTTAAAGTCAATAATAGACCTAAAATAGGCCTCAATATGTCCTTTTCATCCATCGCAACCACTTATGTACTTATCTGCTTCTTATGATGCTTTCCTGTATTGAAATGAAGATCTTTAAGGAAAGATGGAGTTATGCAGTACAGGAGCTTAACGGTGTTTGGTTGACCCATATCAGTTGGTGGCCATTCTTATACTCAAGACAATAGAGACCAGAAATCTGTCATTGTGCATGCAAATATCTGGTGCAGAACCAAAGGAGAACCAGCTGGGGGAGCTCAGAAGCGGTTGGAATCCTACTCAACAGCCTTACCTGGCATGATGCATCTCAAACAATATATAGAACTTTCTGATGATACGATTACGACAGCTGATTAAAAGTATTTCAAGTGTGATTAGGAACTCCTTAACCGATTGTGAAATTAAAAATATTTCTTCTCCATAAGCTTCAAGGCACTCCTCATGAAAACGGCATAAGCATTTTTTGTTGTTGCCTCACACATTTTTCAGTTACATTTGGGAGAAAGTATATTAGCTAATGCCGTAGCCAAAGGACATTTTATTCATTTGCTGGTTTCTCTTTTCTTTGTGTGTTTTTTTCCTTCCCAAAACAGACTATATTATTAGAACTTGAACATGAGATAATATTGTTGTACAAGGAATTTCCAAAGAAATACAAAGAAAATGACAGCATATGAAACTTCAATCCCTCTCAATCCCTAAATCATAGACACTTTACCCAAATCGATTTAGGGCTCACACACAATATCAAGTCCAGAATGAATTCCATAATAAATAAATTCAAGTCCCAAAAATTCATACGAATATGTTAAGGTGAGTAGAGAGATATACGATGTAGACCTTGTTTTTGGTCGAATGGATATGTAATGGATGTTTTCATTGAAAACGGGCAGTGCCCACGTTCTTCTTTTACAAATTTATAAATAAACCTAATTCTAGACATGTATTTATAAAAAAACCCAAGCACTATTTAAACATAGAAACACACCCAAAATCAACAATTGTATATTTTTTGGGTGTGTTTATAAAGTGGTTTGGGTGTTGGGTTTTTTTATAATTTCAGCCCCCATTTTGGGTGTTTTAATGAAACTCCCTTCTTCTTTTTGTTGCTGTTTTTCTTTTCCTATTTCTCTCTTGTATTGGGATATCTTTTCCTATTTCTCTCTTGTATCGGGATATTATCGTAATTTGTGACGTAGCGAAAGTTTTATCATTGTTAGTTTATTACATTTTTATGTTTTTTTTATTTTTATTTTATAAATAAAAAGGACAATAATACAACATTAAATATGCCCTCATATTTTTCTCATTTATAAATCCGCACCAAAATAAAAATAAAAAATAGAGGAAGAAAATGTGGGCATTAGACAATGGCAAGTGAATAAGTTATGTCATCTGTAAGAAAAGAATGTGAAGGACATATTCCCTCTTTTGTTCCAAACACAGTCTGCCCTGCCGGCGGCGTCACCCTTGGGTGGATGGGCATTTTGGTCAGAATAACAAAAATATTGTATTGGTTTAAGTTTCAGCTTTTAATAAATTTGGATATTTTCAAAACCAAAAACCTCCATAAAAACTCAAAACCCTGACACCCAGAGCCGCATACACTATGCTCTGGTCTCTCAGCCACTGAGTGGCGGATGCAGGAATTGCCACTCGTGGGGTCACAAAAATAGTGGCGGCGACGGAGACGGTTGGTGGTGAACGGCAGCTAGCACTCTTGGCTGCAGTGTCAAGGGATGAGATAATGGTAGTGGACAGGTACGGACCCAGGAATTGCAAATTGAGCGGGCTAAATTTACTTTAAGTACAAATATATTAAGAAAATTTGGTGAGTGTTTGTGGATTTTGTAGATTTTTAGGCTTGAACAATAGATTATATGAACTAAAAACTAGAGGTAACCCACATGAGTGACTTTTTTTTTTTGATAAATTATAAGCCCTTGTTGCTATTTTATTATACGACATTTGAAATAGAGAAAATGATAGAATTATTGATAATATTGTTGAAATATTTGGAATGGATTGAAAGGAAACAAAGAAGAAAAGAAAAAAGGAAAAGATATTTATTATATTTCCCCCTCTCTCTCTTTTTAATCACTCCCTCTCTTTTTTATTCTTTTTTCCTCTCTCTCTCCTCCCGTCTTCCTCTTACTTTATTCTTTTTCCTTCTTCCTTTTTCCCCTCTCTCTTTTTTAATTCTTTTTCCTCTCTCTCTTTCTTCGTGCTCCAGCTGCCACCACCGAAGCTTCTTCTTCTTCTCCATTTCCATGGCTGCCAAGGGCAAAAACCAGTCCCTACCACTAAACTCCAGATCTGCCGTGGGGTCGTCTGACCCCATTGACCCCATGGTGGATCCGCCACTCCATGGCCCAATTGAAGTCCATTTCCGCATTCTCGTCCTCCAACCTCGCTTTTCACGGTCCCAAAAGAGGTACATTCTTTTCATAAGAGAAATGGTACATATTCTCAAGAGCAATTTCTGGTTGTAGTTTTGTTGTTGGAGAAAGCAGAATTCATTTCAGATTGATGCTTAAGGATTTTGTAAAATTTGAGGAGAAATTGGCAGTACCCAAACACTTAAATGCTTAATTTTTAATAGAAAAATAGTTGGTTTACCGTGTGATGGTATATTCTGATATGAACATGTATCACATTTTTTGCTTATATGAGCAGAGTCATATCCATATCATGGCAAAGTTTGTTGTCCAGGGAAATTATCTTCATTTTAAGAGGTAGCTATACCTATATCCATAATGCCTGTTACATATCAATTTTCTCTCTCCTTATAATTCTTGTTGAAAGCTTGATTTTGGTTTCTTCCTGAGTTGTTTGCAATTTTATTTATTTATGTTTTTTACTTAAAACTTGTTTCTGCAGTTGGGGGCAAGAAAGAGTGAGCTACAGGGGAATGCATTTGCGGTTACTAGTGGCAATGGAAGTGTAACTAGAGTTCATGACAAGCAAGGTGGGGATGCCTTGCCTAGTCAGTGGTTCTTTCTCATGTTGGCCTTGGTTCTGCTTTTGGATGTTCCCGCTTTTGTTTTGTTTTGTTTATGTTTATGTTTAAACAACATTTTTGTCATGCAATTTGATCTAAACCTTTGCGTGCTGTATTTGTCTGGCTTTTCTTGTGTTGTTTATACTGACACCCACACATGTGTATAATAATATATGTTTTGTGGCACCTCAGTTATTGAAGTATACTTAATGAGTTCATTGTGGTGATCTGATATGGTGAGATGACATTAGTGAAAAAAATTGGACTATTGTGAAAAGTTTAGCAAATTAGTATTTTGTATGCATGTTGTGCGTATCAGTGAATGTACGCATCTAGACAATAGAACTTCCAAATCAGGGGATGATATGTAGGATTCTTCTGTAAAGATGCATGGGTATGTTAGGCGGCATTCTAGCTAAATGCCAGCATTTCAGCCCATGGGAAGAGAAAACAAAAGAGCAGGTCCTTGCCTCCCCTGATATTTCTTTCTGAGCTGCTGAACTCACTTAAGCCGTCAATATAGAGAATTAGAGAATAAGGTAGAAAAGGCCCTTCCAAGCTTGCAGTTCTCTTTTTATTTTACTGTCAAACCATGGCTATGGGTATGTTTGCTATGATTGTTTATTTTAAGCCTGCAATAACCTTATAGAACTGTGTCCTCTAGAATTTATTTTGTGATGAGGTTTCAAAATCCCCTTTAATTAAGTCATAGCATATGTACAGATTCTTCATGCAAATTGACTGTTATTGGACACCTAGGAATATGTTTAGCCACAGAAAATCAGAATTGTTGGATCACATATTCACATTCCAAGAAGTGAACATTGCTGTTAGAGAGATAAAGGAGTTTAAATGAGATGCCATTATATGATATTCCATTTTCTAAGTTCACTCATCTACTGATTCTGTAATATACTAAATATTTGAGGTATTAGATGCCAATGTAATATTATCTTCATATCAATGCAGTTATTAGAGCAGTGCTGCCCAGTTATAGTGAGACAGAATCTAGTTTCAGCTGGATTTGAAGGATCTTCCTATTGACGGTCGGAATGGAAGAACTCTTTCGTATTGTGTGAACAATCGGTGGGTGAGTATGTACGGCACTTTTTTTTTTCAAAATATACGCACATTTTTTTCGACTGAAAGGACCCTTTTTTTTTCTTTAAAAAAATAAAAATAAAAATGTGGAGACAATCCCAAAATTCCCAACAGCTATATCCTTTCTCCAAGATTTAAACGGCTATATCATATCTTTCAACATTCATCTATCAAATCTTTTCTTCATTCCAAGATTTCCAACCCAGAGCTTTCTTCATCTCAAGATTTCCAACCCAGAGCTTTCTTTCCAACCCAAGATTTCTTCATCTTCTTTCCCTCCTCATGGCATCCGAGTGTATATTTGAGTACACAGCTGAATGGAATAATGGAATTGCATATGCTGCAGTGGAAAACCCAGAATTGCATATTCTGCAGTTTGAAATTGGGTTCTGCCTATTTGTTTGTGCAATTCTGGGTTTTCCACTGCAGCATATGCAATTCCATTATTCCATTTAGCTGTGTACTCAAATGTACACTCGAATGCCATGGGGTGGGGAAGAAGATGAAGAAATCTTGAGTTGAAAAGAAAGCTCTGGATTGGAAATCTTGGGATGAGGAAAGTTCTGGGTTGGAAATCTTGGGATGAAGAAAAGATTTGAAAGATGAATGTTGAAAGATATGATATAGCCGTTTAAATATTGAAGAAAGGATATAGCCGTTGGGAATTTTGGGACTGTCTCCACATTTTTATTATTATTTTTTATAAAGAAAAAAAAGGGGTCCTTTCAGTGGAAAAAAAATGTGCGTATATTTTGGAAAAAAAAAAAAAAGTGCCGTACGGACTCACCCACCGATTGTTCACACGATACGAAAGAGTTCTTCCATTCTGACCTTCAATAGGAGGATACATCCGACTACTAAACCACTGGACCTCAACCTTGTTTGGACCTTTGTCTTCGGGAGGATGCAAAGATAGGAAGATCTTTCAAAATCTCTGAGGAGAGGAGCCTCACTTAAAAAAGATGAAAAACATCGCCACTGAAAGCATCACCATGTTCAATCTGGATGATCTCCCTGACTTTTTATTGGTCGAAATCCTCAAAAATCGGCAGTTCAATGCATGTGTGTGTCCAAACGTTGGCACAGTCTTGTTTCTAATCCTTATTTTGTTGGCCGCTTTCTACGTCTCCAAAGGGATAACCAGATGCCCATTAATACTTATTTCCTGTTCACGAATCCAAAGAACAAAAGGAAATTGTTTTATTCCCTTTTGGGGAAGGAGCTTAAAAGAACCCGCAACTCGTCTGTTTTGAGTTTCCTGCCTCCTTTTCAAGGGCCTCCTGCTGTCAGTGTCGGCACACAAGGTGGTGAACCCATCGTGGTAGGGGAATACAATGACTTGCTTTTATGCTGCGCAACCGCGCAACCACGTGGTTTCAACGTGATTACTACATTTGCAATCCATACACCAAGCAATGGGATGCTCTTCCTCCCCCTCCTCAA